GTTTATCAAAAACAAGTAGTCGAGGGCTTACCATAGTCATGTGTTTGTAAATACCAATCCCCACGAATGTCATACAACGTTTTTCAAGACATTTGCAAGAAAACAGTATAAATACAGGTCGCGGTACGTCTAGCGCTGAACAAAACGCGTGACAGCGTTTTCACATTATCCGATCCGATATCGGTGTCGGGCGACGACAGCCGACTTCCGATAGCCGACACCATGTGCTAGTTTCACATATTTCCGATAAAATCGTTCCGATACGGCCATTTGCTCGATAGTTAGTGCGGGCAGGTCATCATGGCAGACTATAATAGAAAACTTTATTTGCTGTATCTATTATATTTGAGACGCAAAAAAGATCTGTCCACAGACAGTATTGGATACATCCTATTGTGGAAGCTAGATATTCAGAGGGAGCATTTTATACTCTTTTTAGCAAGCTACAAAACGCACCTAGAAAGCTTTTTAATTACTTTCGTATAAGTGAATCTACATTCAATTATTTGCTAATTCATCTCGCTAACAGTATCAAGAAACAACGCCGCCGCGCCGCCATGATAACAACAACAACCAAACTATAAAAAACAAGATCAAAAGGGCCGCCGCGCATCGGGCTCTATGCACACAGACACAATTTAGATACACGTATAGCATATTTATGCTATATAGCATGCAAACATTATCGTCCGACGGCTCACGGGTCTCCGATGGTGCCGCCAGCATATCGGTGTCGGTTCCGATATCCGATATCGGGCCGGACAATATGAAAGACAGGTACATACTTCATACATTTTACTTACACCGATATCGGATCGGATAATGTGAACAGGCTCTCAGGGATAGCTGTGCATGGGTACGACAGGAGAGCCAATCGGCGCAACGCACGCCCGCCCGCGCACCTCGTTTCCCCTTAATTTTTACTTTTGCGCAATAACAGTCAGCCAAAGATATTAAATACCCTAGATATAACACCACGAACAAAATCGTGACCGAAACCTGTCCAAAAGGTACATTGGACGCTCCACGGAGCTCCGTAAGATGATCGAGTAGTCAAAAACAATATAAGGTATATTTAAACATTAGAAGTCACCTTTAATGCATACTGTATAAGGCCTTAATTAAAACGCATGCGTCAAAGAGTTATGACAGTTCGAAATGCAAGCTCGTAAAATTTTACGACTTATTGCTATATGCGGAAGAATATAGACCTTATTTCTTTGATTCTACGCACAATTCTTAATGCGTTGTTAGATACATTGTTTACTATCGAAAAAACGACACTTTACGTACTATATGTATTTTTCACGGAGCTCTGCGGCATTTTGACTGTGCAACGGTCCGCGCATGACTGTGGACCAAGAAGTGCTTGAGTCGTGTTCAAGCACTTCTTGATTGGGACACATTTTGAGCGCACGTGGTGTATCTAGGGTATTTAATATCGTTGCAGTCAGTTTCGTGCTGCAACCTATATTTTAAATAGTGAAGCAAACTTTTTCTTATAAAAAATGGCGTGCATTTCCAAATGGCGCCACGCGCGGGTGGTGAAAATAAGAACTACAATTTTCGTCTCTTTTAAGTATTAAAGTGAGAAAAAGTATAAATTAAAAGCACTTCCAAGGAGGTTCGATCGATTTTTTTAGAGAATACGCACGGTGCCATGTAAGGGTCGTGCGGTAAAAAAAATACCGTACGCTCCGTTGTATGCTTAGATTAAAACAAAAAGGGTGGATACGGCACTAGCCTCACAAAAGTGATCCGCATGAATTGTGTTCCACGACCCTAATCGCTTTAGTCACAACTTGACATGTAAACGACGTACATGTGAGTGCCAAAAAGAAATATTGCTAATATTTTGTGTTTATATAATAAAACAATGCCTAAGTGTCTTTTTAAAAAGTGCTCAAATTGCTCAAGAACTAAAAATAAATCCACGGCATCACTTTTCATTCGTAAGTACTATAAAATATATTTTTTCATAAAAAATGCTGTTTGTTTTGAATCTTATTCGGTAGGGACCAACGGCTTAACGTGCATTCCGAAGCACGGAGGAGCTCGAGATAGTAAATTTTTGGTCACCCATCCAATGACCGACCACTGCGAAAGTTGCTCAACTTCAACGACCGCAGCCGAACGCGGTAACCACTGGCGCCATCGAGCTCCTCAAATACAGATTAATAATATTTTATTTTAAACACAGTCTCATTAACAAATATTAATAAGAGCAATTTAAAGTCAATACTTAAAGCTATTTTAATAATGATAATTTAATGCCAAGGCTTCTTTTTAATTCACTTGACAGGGTGAATCGATGATACACACATACTTAACATCAAATATAAAAATAACTTTAAAGTTTGTTTCTTATGCCATACTAGCGGCCCGCCCTCGCTTCGCTTCGGTGTAGAGCTGAATTGTAGACTACAGTTTTTGTTCTCAGGCTTGTATTATACACAATGCCATTCATCTATGATTCTTCTTATACCTGCATGCAAAGTCTCAGCCCGATCGGTTTAAAATTGACAAAGTTTATACAAACTTTCATTCCCTTTTTATCCCCTTGGGGGTAGAATTGATCTAAATCCTTTCTTAGCGGATGCCTACGTCTGCCTGCATGCCAAATTTCAGCCTGATCCGTCCAGTGGTTTAGGCTGTGCGTTGATAGATCTCTATGTCAGTCAGTCACCTTTGAGTTTTATATATATATAGATTCGTGCTATGAAGGAGATTTCCAGTAGACCTATTCGCTAATTGCCTTTATGATAATCACCGAGCTATTTAGTGATCCACTCCTGCTTTATTATAACACCACTAAGATACTTGTTTGGAGAAGCATCGATGCACATCCAAATTTCTAAAAAGTTAACGAATATGCCGGCAGGGCTTCGACTTGGTATGGGAGGGTTTAAGAGTATGCAACGAACTGTGATACTTTGGCAACGCAAGCCAAAGGAAATGCTTTGGAAAACGCTACACTAAACGCGACACTAAACGCGACACTAAATCTCAGGTTCTCACCAAGAAGAACTATATGTATACTTACACCGACTAGGACCACCCTGCTACCGAACCAGCCCCCCTAGCATGAGTAACAAAACGCGATATGATAAAGCGATTTATCGACATTAACTGTCAAACTACAATGGAGTTTGACAGTTGAGTGTCGATAAATCGCTTTATCATATCGCGTTTTGTTACTCACACATTAACTGTCAAACTACAATGGAGTTTGACAGTTGAGTGTCGATAAATCGCTTTATCATATCGCGTTTTGTTACTCACGACATTAACTGTCAAACTACAATGGAGTTTGACAGTTGAGTGTCGATAAATCGCTTTATCATATCGCGTTTTGTTACTCACGACATTAACTGTCAAACTACAATGGAGTTTGACAGTTGAGTGTCGATAAATCGCTTTATCATATCGCGTTTTGTTACTCACGACATTAACTGTCAAACTACAATGGAGTTTGACAGTTGAGTGTCGATAAATCGCTTTATCATATCGCGTTTTGTTAGTCATGCTAGGGGGGCTGGTGTCTCTCTATTTCTTTTGCAGCAGTAAAATGGGCTCGGCCTTTACGCACCCATTTCGCGACGATTAAGTTTATTGATATTATATTTGATTAAGTTAGTAATGGTTCTTTATATGTTAATATATATTTTTTTATTGTGTAAAAGCATGGAACAAATCTTCATTTATTTAATTATATAACAACACGTCGCGTAGAGCCCATTTTAGATTTTTTATTATTATAATTTTTGCGTATTCTTATCTTTTCGATGTTTAACATCTTTCCCCTCGCTTTTCGATGTGTAATTGTTGTAAAGGTTTTAATTCTTTTTTTACTAATATAAGGTGAGGTTTCAAATGTTACACATCGTACGCGACTACTGTAAGGATCGCTTGCTTTTTTAATTGAGAAACAAAACAGAAAAGCAAAAACTGAAAATCTCTTATCTATTAGACGAGTCCGTCTGTCCGTGGTGCTGTTTCAGCGGCCAAACCGTAAGAGATAGATAAAGAGAATATTTATAAGTTAAGAATAGTCTGATAAGACTACAAACCGGATTTGAGTAACGTAGCACTTCCGGTTTTCGAGAAATCGCGAATTTCAAACGAAACCACACAAAATCTCCGAAGTTCTCAATTAATTAAATACATTTTTGTTTTTTTTTTTAATCAGGTTTTGGTGAACATTTGGTTCACTGGTTTACTAGTACGTTATAATAAGTAAAAGTAAACTGTTAAAATTGCAAAAAAAAAATGTAACCCATGTTTACTACTAATTATGTATTTTAGAAATTATTAATTATTGATACGTAACGGATTATTAACATGAAAAAGAACTTTATCTGTTTAAAATAACGATAAGTTTCGTAATACGTATAAAGATTTGAACAAAGAACCACAAACATGGTAAATCATTTGTCGGACCTATCTATAAAAATAAAAAATAAAAAAATGGTTGCCTGTAAAGTCGGTTTTACGGGCGAAGATTTTACGTGACAACGTCTTTTTCTCGGTAGAATATTTATTGATATGAATATAATTAAATTGCACAATAGGAACAAGGAATTGAATGAAAATAAGAATTGCACAAATTTTAACTATAGATGGGAGAGAGACGCAAGGCATTCGGCGGGCCTCTCTCTCGTTCGGTGACTCATCGTAACGTTACCGAGCGTTACACTTTTTCATAAGTGACTCCCAGCCGCAACCTAATTTAAGACGTTGTCACGTCAAAAAAAAAATACTGAAATCAAATTCGAAATTTTTATTTAACTGTTTTTATAAAATCACTTCTAAAACACGAAAAACTAAATACGCCGGCTGTTTTTTTTTTTATTGTGACAGACATTGTGTTAACATTGCATCACAATACAGTACAACAAGTTAAAAAGTAAATTAAACGACTACATTAATGGTGAAACTCTAATACAGCAGCTAGACTACAATTTTTTTAAGAAGTAAGTGAACAACACAAAATTACTTACCAGAAAAATCAGATTATTCCACAATTAAAACGCGTGATCATTCATTGAACAGACACTTTCATCACAAAAACTATATAATTTCCAGAATCAATACACTTTCTAAAAAAAGAAAAGACACGATAGAGGTTGGTAAACTTTTTGAAAACCAACGAAATAAAAAGAAAAAAGCAAATACTGAATTCGGATACAGCACCCGCTCCTGAGTCGCGAGCGGCTTTCGCGCCAAAACGTGGGGAAATGTCAAACTCTCGCAAGCGCGTAAGGCCACGGCGACGATAGCGAGCAATAGCGGGGCAGGCAGGCTTCAATAAATCCGTATCATAATAATACAATACAATTTCGGCCACAATTGCAACGGCATCAAGGTCGCAACAGTGCGGTAATGCAGGTTAACAACTTGTTATGCGAAAGTATCCGGAAGCTTTATAATTCTTAATGTGGATACGTAGTTACTGCTCGATAGTGCAGTGGTTATAAATTTGCGATCGTGGAGGTCAAGCAACTATTGCAATGGCCGGTTGTAGGATGGGTTACTAAATATCTATGTTTTGAGCTTCTCCGTGCTTCGGAAGGCATGTTAAACCGTTGGTCAGCTGCATCGACAGTCTATATGTGTCCGTGTGGTCCTACTCCATGCTCAGAGAAGACCTGAGCTCCCTATGTGGATTGGGAACATTAATTTATATGCTAATAACGATGAAATATGAGCTTAAAGAATTCATAATTTCGGAAATTACAGAGGCTAAGAAGTTACTTCATGCATGAAATCAAGTAAAATAACACATGACGCCACTATGTTGATTTTTTGAAGTATCTAAGTTGTTAAGCGCTATTTTAACATAATATTAACTGGATCGTATGTTGATTACTTAGCTCTGGTACTTCAGTAACAAATAATTTCCTTCACTTTTGCTTAAATAACTCCCACAAAAAATCTAATTTTGGGCCTAATTCTGCCATATTCATGTACCAAAGATTTCGCTATATTTTGTATGACTCCATTCTTATGGCCTGCGCAGACGAGGAACTTTTTTCCGTGAACTTTTTTAACCCCCCAAAAAAGATCGCCACATCTGCATCGAGTAACGCACACGAGGATTAAAAAGTACCGCGTACAAAGAGTCCAACGAATAAACAGTACACGGGAATCCCCGAAAAAAATAGACCGCGTTATTAGACACACAGCAGAGTTCTGTACCCTTACTACGAGTTTTACAATTACGAAAACCATGATAGTTTTCGTGAGCTCGCACTCGTACTAAGGGTTACTTATTTTATGGTTTTCGTTTCAATACAAATAAACATTGTTAAAATTCTATCGAAGACACTACAAGACGCCTACAGGCATTCGAGATGTGGTGTTTAGTTACCGTCGCATGTTACGCATTAGCTGGACGCAGAGGGTCAGGAACGAAACCGTGCTTCAGCGCGTTCATATGTCCCGGATAATGTTGCCTTCTATCAAAAAGCGCAAGATAGAATATCTTGGTCACGTGCTGCAGTTGATAATGATGGGCAAAGTGGACAGAAAGAGACGTGCTGGGCGAAGAAAAAAGTCATGGCTCCGGAATATCCGGGAGTGGACCGGTATTGCCTCCGTCGAACAGCTGTTCCGGCTGGCTGCTGATAGAACTACATCGAGAAGCTAACGGCCAACCTACAAGATTGAAGGGGCACTGGAAGAAGAAGAAAATTCTATCATTAAATCATTTGTGTCTTCTTAAATTTTAAGTATATTTGGGTACTTTTCACGAAAATGGACATAGAAACATAATTTACAATTACAAAAACTAGGATAGTTTTCGTGAGCTCAAACTCGAACTAAGGGTACAGTTGGCGTTGCTAACTCGATCCAATTTATTTAAATGGACCCAGTATTCTTCTTAAAAACTTGTTCTCTTTCTCTGCAACTTCATGTTCATGACAATGACAACACAACGTATTCTGAGAACATGACAATCCACATAGCGTGAGCTTCACTAAATTTCGGGCAACTAATGTCCACACACCGCGTGCGTTGAGTCCGTGACTAGTTCTCGGCGGTAATTTTTCACAATTCGGGGACATTTGTCCTCCTCTGACAAATGTCCCTCGTCTGCGCAGGCCATTAGGTCTACTTGCACCAAAGTTCTTACATCAAAAAGCTCAGCATTTTCAAACATTGTTATATGACTTTGATTGGTATAATACTGATGTTAAACACGATTAAGGTAAGTGAAGTGACCCTTTCTATTATTAATCTATATATATATATATATAATTCTTCTGTGAGTGTGTATGTCACTGAACTTCTCTTAAACGACTGGACCGATTTTGATGAAATTTTTTGTGTGTGTTCAAGGGGATCTGAGAATGGTTTAGATTCACAATTTTGTCCGCTGAACTACCCCTATTTTTTAGGGCGGTACGAAGTTCGCTGGGTCAGCTAGTATATATATAAAACTTAAAGGTGACTGACTGACATAGTGATCTATCAACGCACAGCCCAAACCACTGGACGGATCGAGCTGAAATTTGGCATGCAGGTAGATGTTATGACGTAGGCATCCGCTAAGAAAGGATTTTGATCAATTCTACCCCCAAGGGGATAAAATAGGGAATGAAACTTTGTATGAAACTTTGTCAATTTTAAACCGATCGGGCTGAGACTTTGCATGCAGGTATAAGAAGAATCATAGATGAATGTCATTGTGTATAATACAAGCCTGAGAACAAAAACTGTAGTCTACACTTCAGCTCTACACCGAAGCAAAGCGAAGGCAGGCCGCTAGTTATTTACATTAGTTTAAGTAAAAACCACAGACTCAATAACGTCGTAAGCAGCCAACTCAGATAAGAATTGCTATGTAGATACGAATCTTAATATGTATTTATCGTGCGTATTACTTCAACATTCCATTTATGATTTCGTGGTACGGTTACAATGGTATAAAAAAACGGTTGAATGTCTCGTTTGGGCTCATTATGCCAAATTACTGAAGTAACACAAGGCCTACAGTCATACAGCCTACATTCAGTTGCTACAGAACACAGCCTCCGTAAATGCTTAATTGGTATTCGAGTTGCGAGAACGATGGTGTAATTTGAGACAATACCTTTCAAATCGAAACAGTTTTTAATTTATTATTCGATTTACAGAAAAGGAGTATAACGTTATTTTTTTCATTGAAAGGTCCGACAAATGAGTTTACCCCACCTGATGTTAAGTGACGGTGAAGTCCAGACGCGAAGATAGCTGATACAGCAGTTCTACCTGCCACACCAGCCATCCTCACCCTGCCGGTCTGCATGTTGCTTCTTCACGCCTCTTTTAAAGGATCCCAGGTTTTGAGAGGGAGGGAACACGTGAGGGGGCAGAGCATTCCATTTACTATTAGTGCGACAAATAAATGAGGTTTCATGTAGTTAAGTTTTAAATATTTGTTTTCCCTTTTTCCAACATTACTTTTAAATTATTAACAGACTAGTGGCCCGCCCTCGCTTCGCTTCGGTGTAGAGCTGTAGTGTAAACTATAGTTTTTGTTCTCAGGCTTGTGCTATAAACAATGACTTTATTTATATAATTACACGTGTTATTGTGAGTCAACCATAAAAGATAGACATATGCTGTTGCGGGATATTTTTTAGACAATTTTATGTAGAAAATTTCCGTCATACATGATTTCTATGTAACTTTAACTATAAAGGCTGCACACGCGACGGAAGCTTAAAAATGGAGTAACTTCTCCCGTTTTCCCAACATTTCCCTTCACTACTCTGCTGCTTTTGATTGTAGCGTAATGAAAAGTATACTATAACCTGCCCAGGAGTATGAAAAATAATTGTACCAAGTTTCGTTAAAATCAGTCGAGTAGTTTTTGTTTCTATAAGGAACACACACAGACAGACAAAAATTTTACTGATTGCATTTTTGGCATCAGTATCGATCACTAATCACCCCCTGATAGTTATTTTGAAAATATATTTCATGTACAGAATTGACCTCTCTACAGATTTATTATAAGTATATAGATTTGGATAATATATCTTGAGTGTCGAGTGAAATACTGAGATGGATAAATAACGTCTATCAAGTCTACAATGGTTATCGTGCCAGTATCCTGGTCACGATTCCATCTTTGAGATGGATAAGTCTAAGCCTAATCTATAAATGACGACCTCCGTGGCCGAGTGGTTTATACGCCGGGTTTCATGGTGTCGCTGGCTCGAGAGGTCCCGGGTTCGAGTCCCGGTGGGGGCAGATGTTTGTGTGATGAATACGAGCATTTGTACTCCAGTCATGGATGTTTAATATGTATTTATATAAATATACTTATATATGTACAGTATATGTATTCTATCCGTTACCCTAGCATCCCATAACACAAGCCTTATATTGCTTACTTTGGGGCTAGGCTAATTGGTGTGAGTGTCGGAAATATTTATTATTATTATTATTAAAGTCTGCTGCCGCCAGTAGGTTACCCATTTGATGATTTTAGGTGTCGTGAGAGGCGGGTCGTTGCGTTCCCTAAAAAATGGTTGAGCGAAGCGATAGCTGGTTCATGCGTCATGCTCGTGAACGGGTTCTACCAGCGGAGATGAGTCTGCTCTTGTAGTAAAATCGGTAGACGAATTAAAAATAAAATATTTTTGTTTTGAGCACATATATTCGAAACATGATTGACACAAAATATATAAATACTAGCCGTCCCAGCAAACTTCTTACCGCCATAAAAAAATAGGGGTTGGTGGTAGAAGGGTGAAAATTTAGGGTTGTGTGTATTTTTGTATGATGTATCATAAAAAAATGAAAAAACAAAAATTTTGTCAAAAAAAACATTTAATGGTGGACCACCCTTAACATTTAGGGAGATGAAAAATAGATGTTGTCCGATTCTCAATCCTACTGAATATGCATATAAAATTTCACGAAATTCGGTCGAGCCGTCTCGGAGTAGTTCAATTACACACACCGTGACACGAGAATTTTATATATTACTTAAGTTATTTCCTTCGGGTCTTTTATGGTAAAAAAATCACGCATCCAGGGCTTGAAACCGGTTTCAAAAATACCGGTAAAAGAGGTTTATACCGGTTTTTAGTAAGGGTTTCGTTCGGAGCACGTCCGAAATAAAAGCGGTACCTAAAACCTTAATAAACCGGTTTAATCCAGAGCAACACGTGTTCGCGTCGGCATCGCTTGAAGTTTGTTTTGTTTGAACTAATCAAGTCACAACTTGTTAGTGCTCAGAGATTAATGTATTGACACGTTTGCTTGCGTCTTGTGAGTCAA